TGCCATGTTCTCCCCATAACCCCTGCTTATGGTGTCTCCTCAGACGGGATGGGGTGCGGGGTCAGTGACTCTAAAGGGGTGAAAGGTCTTATTTCCCTGGAGCTCTGGGAGCTGCTGATGGCGTAGCAGGGGGCAGAGGCCCGGGGGGTAGCTCTTTCTCTTCTGGGTTCTCTGCTGACCACATCCCCCCGAGAATCCCCCTGCTCTGCTCCCTGCAGCTGTCCGCTTCTGAGCCCTCCGCTCCATGGGGCCCCAAGTGGGGGATCCTCCCTCCCTGTCAGGTAGTTCTCGTGAGCAGCAAGTCACAGGACAGCTCTTCCCAGCTACCTTCCACAGCCCTTCACTTGGTCCCCAGGAAGAATGTCTGCCGATTCCTGGGCACGCCAACCCCTCTTACGCCTCTGCCTGGTGGGGCTGGTGGCAGGCAGGCCGGGACAGGGCAGGGCCTGGGGAGTACCCCTTGCTGAGCAGCCACTGAGCTTGGGGGGTTGCAGAGAGGCACGAGATTGGTAGGTGAAGAGTTAAGCTCTTGGCCTGTGAGAGCTGGATTCAAATCCCGCCTGTGCCCTGGGCACGTTAGGTGACCTCCCTGCATTCCATTTTCCTCACCTGTAAAATGGGGGTAAATAATCCTCAGCCTCATACTGGACCCCGGGCATGCTATGATCTCTGTTCACTGTTCTCAGCTGTGCACATCATTTCATTGCTCCTCAGGTGGTGGGAACTGCTGGGCCCATTTCACTGGCAGAGGGAGAATGACCAGGGGTCATGACCCACAGCTAGTCTGCCGGAGTCTGCACGGTCTCTGAGACGCGGCCTGGGCACCGTCCCGACTCGGCAGCCGCAGTCTGCCCCGAGGGGGCTGTGCCCTAGAGGAGCGGGTTGTCAGGGCCAGGGGAGAGGTTGGCCTCTGCCCCCACTTCTTTGATGAGGAAACCAAGTCCCACGAAGAGAAATGCCATACTCAGGCCCTGGTCTCTGTGGTCTAGCCCCTGAAGCCACCAAGAGTGATATGGGTAGGAAAAGGGAGAAGTGGTGGCGGGTACAAAGGCTGTTTTTCTATCCACCCAGTGGGGGCACGGCAGGGCCAGGGCCAGGGCACAGGCCTGGGCGATGGCTGCCACGTAGACCTGCGTAGAGAAGGAAGCAGCTGGGCTGTCCCTGGGCAGCCGGGGACACCCAGGCCTTCCCAACACTGCCTGAAGGCTGAGGCAGGAGTATGCTTCTACCTGCTCAGAGCTTTCCTGAGCATTTCCTTCTAGAGCCTCAGGAGACATCCTGCTGTCCTGATCGGGCCTCCCTGGGTGGAGGCCCGATCCAGCGTGATGGCGAGGCCTGGGCTCCCACATCTGGCTTGAGCAGGCCTCCCAAAGGAGGGGACCGTAGCTTCTCAGCACCTGGCACCCTCCCCCAGGGTGGATTGTTCTGGGTGCCGCCGGGCGCAGGCCCGGCTTCTGGCTGCCTGCTGCTTCCCAGGGTGTACATCTGCGGAGCCAGCATGGCCCCTCTCCAGGGGAGAGTTCCTCTGACCCAGCCTGGGCACAGAGCTGGTCTCTGTGAATCCATGGTAACTGGATGATAGCCCAAAATACAGCTTTGATCTAAGCTGGAAAGAATTTGAGTAATCATTTTCAAAAGTAATTTTTTAAAATTATTTTTTGATGTTTCAAAATGAAAAACGGTGCTGGTTATCTCTTGAATCACTGATGTAGGTATGTGGGCTGGGGGACAGGCAGACCTGGGTTCATAGCCCAGATTCTGACCCTTACCATTTGAGAGAAACTTGGGTAGTCACTTCCCCTCTTTGGGTTTCCTCATCCCTGTCCTTACGTCTGTGGGTGGGAGACATTTTTAATAAGAAAACTGCTGTGATGGGGCGCCTGGGTGGCTCAGTTGGTTAAGCATCTGCCTTTGGCACAGGTCCTGATCTCAGGGTCCTGGGATCAAGCTCTGCATCGGGTTTCCCGGTGGCAGGGAGTTTGCTTCTCCCTCTCCCTCTGCCCCACCCCCCGTTGTGCGCCCTCTCTCTCTCTCAAATAAATAAATAAAATCTTAAAAAAAAAAAAAAAAGAAAACTGCTGTGATGTTCCCAGTGTGTGGCTGGTAGACCCCATAATTTCACTAAGATGAAGGCCATGGGTGGGTTTCAGGCAACAGAGGCTGTGGGTAGACAGAGGAGGGGTGAGGCCCTGCCTGGTAGCTTCTGCATTGTGGAAATGTGAGTCAGTAAAGGAGGGGGACTGGCAGCGAGTGCTTGGCACTTAGAGGGTGGAGCTGGGGGGGGGTGCTGGGAAGGAAGGCCCCCCCCCCCCCCCCCCCCCCCCCGCCCCGCCGCAGGGGTGATATGCGGGCCGGGCCTTGGACTGTGAACTTACAGAACTGATTGATTATTTAATTGAATGATTGGCTCATTCATTTCCTCAACAGCAGCCTGAGCAGACTCTGCCCAACTCTGGGTAATGAGTCAGAACCCATTCCCTGGAGGAGGAGGTGGTCGGGTAGGGGTGAGGAGGAGGGTGCAGGCTGGGGGAGGGGTGCAGCGCTGGGAGGGAGCAGCCCCTAGGGAGCCAGGCACTTCCTCAGAACAGTCTCATCGCTTGTGACCATGGCTCACTTGGCCACAGCGGTTGCTGACGCCACTGAGCAGAGGCTGAACACCATTCTTGAGCCTGCTGCACTTTGGGGACTTGAGCTCCTGGGGACACAGCCTGCAGGGCCCCTTGCTGCCTTCTGCCTCCTACATAATGGCCAACGTAGGTTTGGTTTTGCTTGTCTTTCCAGTCTGGGCGTCTCAGTAAGGACGGAGGGGCTCCCCTGGAGAGCTGGGGCCAGGTGGGGGCCTAGGAGGGGAGAGCAGAGCTGCAGGGGTGGGCTACGCCAGCTCTCCCAGAGGCTCCGGGGAGCAGTGACAGGTCCCCTGCAAGCCCACATGCTTGTCCTGCCTCTGCCCGTGTTTCCTGAAGTAGGTCCTTCCCTTCTCTGGGCCTCAGCTTCCCTGAGGACTGACGGGCACTGGACAAGATGCTTCCTAGTTTGCTGGTCTGTGGCCCTGGGCCCTGAATGCTGGTAGCCAGCTCAGAGTGCCTCCCTCGTGGGGAGAGGGCAGGAGGCTGAGGCTCCGGATTCCTCTCCCTCCCCATCTGTCACAACCTTCTGCCAGGGGGGTTTGGAGGGAGGGCAGGGACTGAGAGGCGGAAAGCCCTGGTCTGCTGGCTGGTTAGTGGGCGAATGGCCACTCACAAAAGCCACAGAAATGCAAGCCTGGCCCAACCACACCAGCCCAGATGTGGGGGTGACGCCTGACCCCGGACAGGCTGGCAGGGGTTCTGGGGACGACTTCCTTCTGCTGGGGCCTTGAATAGCCAGCCAGGGCCCACACATACTGCTTGACACCCTGTGGGCAGCTGAGCCTGGGCCTCAGGAATTTCTAGGGATGCTTATGGAGGAGGGAATAAGCTTGGAGTCCTAGGTATCCTACAGGCCTGGAGATTTCACTATTTTGAGTTTGCTGAGGGAGGGCTGGACCTGGCATAGGGCCAGTTGAGGCAATCTGTGGAATCTCTGCCCTTCCTACCATGTCTGATTCTACTTAGACCTTGAAGAACAACATCTTCTCTCCTAGAACCTGGCTCAAATGCCTCTTCTTGTGGGAAGCTCTCCTGGATTTAGACTCCTCTCCTGCCTCTCCCTACATACCCATACACAGCATTTGAGGAGAGGCATGGATGGGGAAAGGTGCACCATCAGCTCTTGACCCTAAGATGGGCTTGACTTGCCTCCCCCAAGTTGTGGCCCCACTGATTCGCTGAGGTCTGAGATGGGATTGTGGTATGTGTGCTCAGGAAAGCAAGGACCCTTTCTCCAGTCTCCGAGGCTTTGGGGGTGCATGGGGATGGAAAAGAAGACAAACTAGGTGCTGAAATTCAGGGCTCGCCTGGCCCAGCATCCCAGAGGGTGGGGGCTGGGGGTCCTTCCTCAGGCATGGGTGCGGGAGCCAGGCTTGGGTCAGAGACGCAGGAAGGCCCTGCTGTCAGCATCATGTTTCACCACTTTCTCCATCTCCCTCCCCTGCCAGTTAGCCCTGTGTGCAGCCTGGCCCCAACACAACTCCCTAGCCCCAGGGGAGGCCCTAGGAGGCCCTTTAAGTACTACCTCCGTCCCCCAGCTCTAGCACCAGCAGCTCAGAATCCCTTACAGGGCTGAGAAGGGAGAATGCTGTTGGCCAGGAGCGCCAGGATGGGCTGAGCAAGTGCCAGGCAGCAGAGGGGCAGTCGTGTCTGGGAGACTTCTCCCAAATACCCCTTTCCCCACGGTCCTGCTTAAGGGCTGGCCCTAGGGTGCTGGGCATGTGCCAGGGATCCTAGGCATGTGTTAGGGTGTGTGCGCCTCCTGGAAGTCGCTCTCAAGGCCCACCTGACCCGGTGGGGACAAGAAGGTCACCTGAGCCCACACACAGAGTGTGGCACGGCAGCTGACACACAGTTGTCAATCAAGAAACACCACTTGGTGCTGTTGTTGCAGGAGGCCATGTGGTGTTGAGGTGGAGAGCATGGACTCAAGCCAGACAGCCTGGGTTCAAGGCCGGGCCTGTGCGGTCAAGCCTCCCCCACCTGTGCCCCAGTTTGCTCCCTTGGATGATGGAGATAATAGGGTTATTGGGACTGTGACAGGAGCAAGCTGAGCTGGGCACCCTGTAAGGCTGTCATCACTGGGCCTTGGAGGTGGCCCTTCCCACGGCCACCTTGTGTTGGAGTTGCTGCGTCCTGGACTGGGCGCTCTCATGGCGCGTAGGGCTTCCACACCTGGCGCATCCACGGACGGGGGCCCCACTGAGTGCCAGCGTGAAGCCGGCTCCTGAAACCCCAGAGCCTGTCCCTGAGTGGGGCCTGGAGGCGGACAGGCAGGTCAGGCCCCAGCGGCTGGAGAGAGACTTTCCCTGGAGGCGGCAGTGGGGTCCTTGCCCCACCCACACTCACGCACCCCTCTGTCCCGTGTTCCAGTGCAGGGACTTCACGGCCCACACAGGCTATGAGGTGCTGCTGCAGAGACTGCTGGATGGCAGGAAGATGTGCAAGGACGTGGAGGAACTGCTGAGGCAGAGGTGAGCCAGACCCGGGAGGGGGCCAGGAGGGGGAGTGGGCTGTGGAAGCAGCAGGCCCCGCCCACTCAGCCAAGCTGCTGTTGGGACACCCCCTGCTCTGAAGATTCGGGAGGGTGACTTCCCTACTTTTCCCAGCCAGGGCCTCCCCCCAGTGGGCCAAGAATCTGATGTCCCCTCAAATGTGCAGGCATTTGGCCAACATTTATTTCAAAGAAGGGCTGGGGGCTTAACCTTCTCAAGGAGGAGGCTGCAGGGCCCGCCGGCCCCCAGAGGCCGAGTGGGTGGGCCCTCAGTTTGCAGCACAGACATCCAGGGCCCGCAGCCAGCGGAAGTGGGGACACAGGGCCCGCGCTTTGTTCCTGCAGGGCCCAAGCAGAGGAGCGCTATGGCAAGGAGCTGGTGCAGATCGCCCGGAAGGCAGGCGGCCAGACAGAGATCAAGTAAGAGGTCCCATGCCCTGGGCTCCCTCCTCCTTCGCCAGGTGCTTTCTGGGCCTGTCAACAGGGTTTAGGACTTCCTGGCAGGGGGTGGAGCGGGGAGGGCCAGGAAGGGTCTGGATGGCTGCAGGGCGGAGATGCCTGGAGGACAACTCTCTTGGGGACGGGGCATTCTGGGTGAGGTCAGGTTCGGGGGTGGGGGGCCCTGCTGTCTGAGTGCCAGGAAGGCTCTGGGCAGGGGACAGAGGACATCTGTCCTCAGGCGTTTGTAGCACGGCCAGCAGCACCTCTGCCCTCGTCCTGAGAGCCAGGTGACAGGCCCTCCCCTGGTGGCCCGCGCCCCGTGTAGCCTTGGCGTAGCCTGGGCCTCAAGGACAGAGGTGTGACCAGGGACAGTGGCGGGAGGGGCCATGCCCGGGCTCCAGTATCACGTCCTTACCCGTCTGCTGTGTGATCATCAGCTGGGTCAGGCTGCTCCCTGATGCTCTCCCTGCCTCCATTTCCTCGACAGAGAGCGGAATGATAACACAACCTTCCTCAAAGGATTAATTGAGTCCAGAGGCTCGGCTCAGGCCTGGCTCGGAGGGGAGGCAATGGGGATCGTTGCTGCTGTGAAGCAGGGGTCTTCTGCAGTCCTGAGGCCTGGGTCCCTGTGTGCAGAGTGGGGGGTGGGGCAGCAGACAGGGAGAGCGGGACGATGTGAGGGCAGCTGAAGAATTTTCTAACAGTGGCATAGAGGGGCTGCCTTGGGAAGGTGTGGACTCTGCCCTGCCCCCCCGCCCCCGGGGCCAGGACCTCCTACCCAGGAGCGCCGACCTGTGGAGCCTGCAGCTGCCATAGCAACCCTGAGCCTTGCCCCTGCTCCCCCGGAGGTCAAGCCTGTCCGCGTCTGGCTCTGCTCAACAAAAGTGGCCCCAAAGCCTGTGAGCTCCGAAACCTGGCACCTAGTTCCCTCATTTGAACACCCTGAATATACAACATTCTCTGGGTGTTCTAAAGACACAGGGGACCCTGGCTCATTCCTGCTTCCAAACTGGAGCCAGAGAAGACATGGGGAGAGCTAGAAGAAGGTCAAGAAGTGGTATGGGCCAGGGGAGCTTCATGCTCAATGCCCAAAGGTCTGTGACTGGGCGCAGAAAGCATGAACACAGCTCTGGAAGTAAGAATGCATGAGCTCCAGTCCCCTCTTGGCCTTTGTGAACCGTGTGAGTGGGGACAAGTTGAGTTGGGTTCTCATCTGCCCACTCCAGTGGGCTGTGGTACAGATAAACAGGGCAGGGCTGGGGTTGGATGCAGGCTGGGTGCAGAGGAGGGTGCAGGACGTGGTAAGGAATGAATGAAAGTCTGATAGAACCCTTCTCTGTCTTCCCTGGGGAAGAGGGATTGAGGGAGTATGACCCAGGAGGCGTCCCTGCCTGCCTGCTGGCCACCCAAGCCAGATGGAAAAGGAGAACCTTCCCAGAAAGAGAGGAGACCTCCTGGGTGTGGGGGGGGAGAGGGTGCTCCAGGCTGGGCCATGACAGGAACCCGGGCTGGAGGCAAGCTGTGTGAGGCACACTCACACTCAGAAGCCTGTGAGTCACTGGGCACTTAAATAGGGAAGGAGAAGCCACTGATGGAGAGAACAAAATGGAAGGGGATCCTGGTGGGCAGTGGGGAAGGCGGGGAGGGACACAGCATCTTGCCCCACTGCAGGACTAGGAAGTGGCTGGGGCAACGCTCTGGGTGGTCCTGATCCCCTACACGGCTATAAGAGGCCAAGTGGGGCAAGGTCTGCCCTGCCTCCTACACTGTGTGGCCGTGGGGGGTCACTGCCCCTCTGAGTCCTGGGCTGGGCTGTGAGAGGGGAGTGGCCCCCCGGAGGTGCTCTGGCATCCCCGTGTCAAGCAGAGAGCACCAGGCCAGGGCAAAGCTCAATCAACAGTGGGGTTCTTTCCGGTCTTACAGGCACCTGTGTATGTCAGATAAACTGGGCTCTCCCTACTTAGTTTAGGGCTGAGAAGTCTGACCGGGCAACCTAGACCATTTCCTTCAAGGCCCAGCCGCTCCCCGGCCTAGAAAGCCGGAGGCCAGTGTCACTGGAAGGCAGCCCTCGTCCAAGGTGGGAGCATCAGGGGTAGAGCCCCAGAGAGCAAGGAGTAGAGACAGGGTCCGCCTTTCTGCCTACCAAGGAGGAGCTGGAGCCCAGGTCGGGAGTGCCAGGCCCCATGGCTCAGCCCACCCAGCACAGGGGCCCCATGGCCCAGACGCAGGTTGCCAGAGCAGACAGGGAATGGTGGGTGAGAACCCACTGTCAGGCTGGGGTGGTCAGAGCAGGGTGGCCTGGGGAGGGCACCTCCTGGGAGAGATAGCGAGGGAGGGGAGATGCCTTCCTCCTGGAGGACTTGCTGGAGGTGGGCAAAGGCAGGGCAAATTCAGAGCCAGTGGGCAAGAGGGGCAGGAGTCAAACCCATCCCGGTTCACCTGCTGCCTGCCTTAGGGTCATGCCCCATGCAGCGCGCAGGTCAGCTGACTGCATACACCAGGTGCTCAGTAAGTGGAGCTGTTGAGCCATGTGGCATGTACTAAGATTAGTGAGACCATGCAGTCATTCCTTTCCTTAACCGTGGGCCAAGCATCAATCATCCGTTCATTTATTCAGCCAGCATTTATGGAGCGCCTATGATGAGCCTGCCATGACCTAGGCTGAGTCAGGAGGATTCAAAAATTTGAAAATAACACAAAATGAATGGCCCACCATCCCAAAGCTAGACTCTAGCACACCGTGGGGAACCTCCCCAATCCTTTGCTTCAGAACCCCTCCCTCTAGGGCCTTCTCCTGCCCCACCTCCTCCAGGAAGTCCTCCCAAACACTCACCCTTGTGTGATTGTTAGGGTCTTGGATTGGACCAGGTCATCCTGTCCCAGTTCCAACCTGGAGGGCTCCCTGTGGGAAGAGTAAAGGGTGGCCATGGAAACGTGGGTCACTTCCTCATTGTCATGGAGACTTGGAGGTATGTTGGGGTTAGCCCCTGGGAATGCCCTGGTTATTCAGCGTGGGGCTGGCAGCGCATCCTCCAGGGCCCATCGCCTGGTGGGGTGAAGTCCCCAGCTCCCCCATGGCCAACCCCCTCCTAGGTTGCATGAGATGCTTATTCTTAGCTCCTCTAAGGGCAAGCATAGGCTAGACAGGAGCAAATGGGGAGGACCAAAGCTGAGGAGTTAAGTGACCTCAGACGAAGCCCAGTGAGAGCAGGAGGGCAGAGTGGGCCAGCCTGCCCAGCCTCTGCTGCCTGAAGATGCAGCATTTCTGCATGATCCTCTGACCTCAGACCAGCCAGAAACCTCGCTCAAGCCTGGAGGCTCAGCCATATATATTGAAGGGAGGTTACCCCCATCTTCAAATCATTTCCAGCATTCACCTCCTCCACATGCTGCCTCAGCGAACTCCCACTGGGCTGTGGAATGGAGAATGCACATATGAGACCTGGTCCCTGAACTAGGGGAGCCCCACAAGCCCTTTCGATGCACTTTAAAGACCTCATCACACGGGCGAAGGGCTTATCGATACGGTTTAAACTGCACATCCAGCTCGGCAGAAAGTTCACCCCGACTCTCCCTTCCAGCGTCCGGGCCTTTGCTCTGGTTGTTGCTCCCATTTCCCCCCTGCCCAGGCCTACCCATCCTGTCTTGCTCACATTGCCCCAGGTAGGGTGCTGGGGTGCCACAGGGTTCTGGAAATGAAAGGAAATCAGGGCTGGCAGGGCTGGGGCCAACTTCCCGTGAGCCCCCAGGTGGTTACCACCATTCAGGACACCTCCTCAAGGCACGTGGGTTTGAATCCCCGCCCCACCTGCTCTTGTCACAACCTAAAATGCTGTGGTTTTCCTGTCAGAGGGATTTTTTTTTTCTCCATGATCTCTCTTCTGAGCTCAGAGAATGAAGACATGCTAAGGACATTAGAGGGAGCCAGGCAGGCCCTATTCCCATCAGGGGCCCTCTGACACTAGCGCCGTCAGGCCCTGCCTCCAGCCTCCAGCACTGAGGCAAGAAGAGCCTGCTCCTGTCAGCAGGGAGGCTGGAGCCTCCTGGCCAGCAGGAGGGCAGGGGTAGCGAGGCTCAAGCAGGGACGTGACATGATGGGGCGAATATGGAAGGAGGTGTTTACACTCGAAATTTTGACCGTGTTTGAGCAGGGCACTTCAGGGCGCATCCTGAGAGCCAAGTCAGAAAGGGCAATGGGATGAGTCACACATAAGGACACTGGTGGCGGATAACAGAGGGTAGAGGCCTGCACGAGGCCCCGTCCTTGCCATGTGACACAGACACAATAGAAGAGAAGCTTGAGCAGGTCCTGGCAGCAAGAGGGAGGAACCGGGAGAGAGAAAAGCTATGAGACGCCATCTCTTCTGGGTCGGTTGGAGCAGAGAAAGACTTCAAATGCTCCGCAAATCCTCAAGATCAGAGTTTAAGGCCATTCTCCAGGGGAGAGTCTTGGCTAACGTACAGTGGGCTGCCTCTGGTTCCAGGAAAAGTGAAGCCCCCCTTCCCCCACACAACCAAGGCTGCCTTCTTCTTCTTCTTCTTCTTTTTTTTAAAGATTTTATTTATTTGACAGAGAAAGACAGAGCGAGAGAGGGAACACAAGCAGGGGGAGGGGGAGAGGGAGAGAAGCAGGCTTCCCGCTGAGCAGGGAGCCCAATGCGGGGCTCGATCCCAGGACCCCGGGATCATGACCTGAGCCGAAGGCAGACGTTTAACGACTGAGCCACCCAGGCGCTCCCCAAGGCTGCCTTCTTGAAAGTCTGGGGCCAAGAAAGAGAGGTGGAGTCCTGGGCCCTGTTGTGTGAGTGGAGCTCTGGTGGCTGGGCAGGAAGGACTGCAGCCCCGAGGTGAGCAGTTGCGGGGAGGACCTGGAGTGGTCACAGCCTGCAATCCTGCCCCCCACGCCCCACCCCAGGTGGAATGAGCACTGCCACCCATGCAGCCCCAATGGGCAGCAAGCCAATGGGAGCCCAAGGTGAGCATGGGCTTCGTCACCATCAGGACTGACCAGGGTGGAAACAGAGACTGCATGTCACATGGCAGTGCTGTGGACTCAGGCACCCAGCATCCCAGGGTGGGGCAGGGAGAAGGACCAGCTGTCCCAGGAGGCTGTGGTTCCTGACAGACACCCCAGGCTGGGAGGGAGGGCCTGAGTCCATGGGCCAAGGAGGGTGCGGCAGGGTGGGTTTAGGATTGAGAAAGGCCTTGGTATTTATCAAGTGTTGATGCTGGGGGGCCGGAGCTGATGGTCTGGGGCTAGGGTGGTAGCAGTGAGTGGCAGAGAGGAGATTGAGGAGGTGAAAGAGAAGGCAGTGCAGGGGGAGGGAAAGGGCTGAGACAAGGACGACTCTGGGTTTCTGGTGCATCCAGCCAGGTGCAGGTGCTCTTTGCTGAGATGGAAACAGGCTGAGAAGGGAGGTTTGTGGGGGGGGAGCTGAGTCCAGTTTTGGACATTATGCATTTGAGGTGTTGGTGAGCTGTGAGATCTAAAAAGAGGTGAAGACCAGGCGGTGGATGTGCAGGCCCTGAGCTCTGGGGCGGGATGTGGTCATGAAGGACTTGGGGCCTGACGGGGTGTGGGTGAGGCTGGCCGTGGGGGAGGGGGGTCACACTGAGCCTGGAGGAGCTCTCACCATGAATGGAGAGACTGAGGCAGGACATGAGTGTGTGAGTAAGCAGAGGGGTTGGAGGGAGAGCCACTGGAAGGCATCAATTCTGTCAGAGAAGAGTCCTGACCCCTCATGCCCAGGGCGGGCGGGGTCACCCTGGCAATCCCCCCTCTCCTTCTTCTGGTGAGAAGCAGGGGGCTGGCCTTGCGTCTCCCCCGCCGTGTGGCCACGGACCAGTTTCTTCACCTCCCTGATGCTTGTTTTTCTCATCTGTAAAATGGGGATCACGATGGGACCCTCCCTGGCAGAGCTGCGAGAATGGAGAATTAAAGAATTTAGGCCAGCCATTCTCACATTCGAGCGGACGTCAGCAGGCCACGGAGGCCTGTTAAAGCACAGAGTGCTGGGCCGCACCCTGGAGTTCCGGCTTCAGGAGGAGTGGGGCGGAGCCTCGGAATCTGTGTTTCCAACAGGCTCGCAGGTGGTGGTCATGCTGCTGGTCTTCCGACCACACTTCGAGATCTACTTAGTTTAAGGCCCGGGTCGGCCACGGGCCAGACCCCCGCAGTTCTCTCCTAGGCCTGGATCCCTGTGGGTCCTAACAGGTTGCTGATCCTGGTTGACCTCAGTTTCCCTAACTGTCCAATGAGAAGAGGGAGGCCCCTGGAAAGCCTGCCTTGCAAGGCTTGCGGGGAGACCACGGCAGGAGGGCAGGAGCCCAGGGCTGTGCCGGGAGGACGTCAAGAGGACATATGGCCACCAGGGGGCGGGCGCGCTGCTCGGCGGAGGGAAGCGGAGGGGAGCGGAGGGGAGCGTGGGGCCGGGCAGGGGGCGGCAGAGCGTGCGGCCAGCGACCCGGTCCCTGCCTGCTGCCTCTGTGTGATCCCAGCACGCCCGGCCACACTCTGGCCTCAGTTTCTCTTTCTGCCTCGACTGACTGCGCCTCCTCAGGCATCCTGGTGCAGAGGGAGCCACAGCTTATTTCCCCTCCTTGGTTAAGGGGCCACCAACACAGGCAGAGAATGTTACCTAGGGCAGTCTGCAACCTCTGCGCTCCGTCTCTGGGTGCACTTGGAGACTTGACACCCACGGGCCCTCGCTGGGGCATGACGGGCCCAGGCTCCCCTCACACAGCTGCTGGTGAACACAAGTCTGTCTGCCCCACGTGCCCGCTCGGGCTATGGGGAGGTGAGAAGGGGTCCGACCTATGGAGCCCCACAGAGAACCTCAAGGGCACCCCCACCTGAACTTAAAACCTGGCGGGTTTCTGATAAGAGGGGGCACCCAGTAAGCTCTTAGGTGGGGCACTTTGGAGGTACAGCTCAGGTCAGGTTCAGGGACCTGGGGAACCCCCCCAACCTAGGACAGGGATGTGCAGATGTGACTCGGGGGAGGGTTGCGCGACAACAACCAGGTCCTGACGGAGGTGCTTTAGACATATTAATTAATTTATTCCTCACAACCATCCTGTTTGTGTTATTATCCTCATTTTACAGAAGGGGAAACCAAGGCACAGAACATAAGTCCCTTGCCCAAGGTCACATAGGCTGTCCGGCTCCAGGGTCGGCTCCGACGCATGTGCGAGTGCAGAGCAGGAGCCCCCGCCCAGGTCCTGTAGCTCCCCCAGGCTGGGATTTCCAGTCACTCTCCTGCTCCACCGGAATGGGGAACCCACCCCACCGAGAGGCCCCTGTCCCTGAGACCCAGTGACCTGGAGAGAGGCGTTTGCCCCTGTTGCTCGTGTTTCTGACCCAAGGGGATGTTTGCCTCATGGCGCCCCGTTACCTACCAGGAGACAGGACTGGGTCCTGGGTGGGCTGACACCTTTGATCAGGCACCAGCTCCATCCGTGGTTCTGGGGGGCAGTCCCCACAGTAGGGCTGCTGGATAAGCTGTAGGAGGCCCAGTTACATTCAAATTTCAGATAAACAACAAATACTTTTTGGATGTAAGTATGTTCCATATATTACATTATATTCAAAAACTATTTGTTGTTTATCTGAAATTCAAATGTAACTAGGAGCCCTGTATTTTTATTTGCTGTCTGGCAACCCCACCCTTGGGCATCGTCCCCCAGTGCCCCCCTCTTCCCTTCCTGCTCTCTGTGGCACCCACATCTCTACCCCAGAATGGCCACACTGCTGCCTCCTGACTCCTCCTGAGGGGTTCTCTCAGGCACCCCAAGCTCGGTGCACCCTATTGTATACCCCCTCCTGGGTCATGTACTCTCTCCTGGGTCCTCTCTTGGAAATGTCACCACTGTCTGCCCAGCCGCCCCAGCCAGGGACAGGGATAGCCTCTTGCTGTCCTTACCCGTACATCCCATTCTTCCTGCCCTAAGGCCCCACCTGTCTCTCCTCTTGTACCCCTGCCCTGCTTGCCTCTCCCACCCAGCTTCTTCCAAGGCCAGTGCCTAAAGCCAGGTCTGAACCCTGCGCTCTCCTGCTTCAGCTCGTCCTGATGGGAGAGGACTGGGTGGGAGAGGGACCCTAATGAGGGAGGGAGAGCCCTGAAAACATGCAGAAGCCAGGAGCACTCTGCCACTGCCGGGAGGTGTGATGGCTTTATCACCTCCAAAGAGGAGCTCTGCCTTCCAGAAATCCCAGCTTGGTTCTGAGGGGGTGGTCACTGTCTGGGTCTAGATCAGTGTGTGTGAGTGACCTAGAGCCTTCCCACCAAATGAAAAGTCCCTGGGGTGGGGGTGGGGGTGGGGGGAATTCCAGGCCTGCTGTGCCCTCCTCCCCCTGACCCTGGCCTTTCTGTTTTGCAGCTCCCTGAGGGCTTCCTTTGACTCCCTGAAGCAGCGTAAGTCCTGACTGCCCCCAACCCAAGGCTGCAGGGTGACAGGACCTTCTGGGAATAGCCATGTCCCCATAGATGGAAGCAGATAGGTTCTGGCGGGGAGGGGGTGCTCAGGCTGCACACAGGGCTCTGAGGCTGGAGGAGGGTCTGGGAGGTGCAGGGCTGGTCCAGGCACGGGTCGGGGGGGTGGTTGGGGCTCCACGCCTCTGTGCTCTGCCCCCAGAAATGGAGAATGTGGGCAGCTCCCACATCCAGCTGGCCCTGGCCCTGCGCGAGGAGCTGCGGAGCCTCGAGGAGTTCCGTGAGAGACAGAAGGAGCAGAGGAAGAAGGTGAGGTGGGTGCGGGGGCATGGGCCCTCCACACGGAGCCCGTGGAGGGTGGGAGACAGCACTCCAGGCTTGGGGGTGAGAGTGACTCAATGTCGAGGGGATGGGTGTGGGCGGGGATGGGCCACTGGAACCCGGGCCCGGTGTGCAGGCCTGAGAGCCCCATTGGGGGTCTTCCCCTGAGCTGTCTCATGCCAGGAAGAGGGAAAGGCATAGGTCTTTTTGATTACCTTCCTACAACAGACTGTGGAGGATCACTGACAGCTTGGGGGTATCCAAAGGCGGCAACCTGATTTGGGGAGTCGCCAGAAACTGGTCCTCAGCCCAAGGGTCAGGGCTGCTTGTCCAGGAGCAAGGCAGACTTGGTGGCCAGCCATAGTAGCTGCTCTGCGGGGCTGCCCAGGCTGAGAGGGGCAGACAGAGGCTGCGGGCGGCGGTGGGGCGCTGTGGGCTTACCTCGGCATCCCAAGGTACTTCTCACCCGTGGGCAGGGCGTGGCTGTCCCTAGATGGAGGGACTACATGGAAAGGAAGTAAGGTCCCCATCATGGAAGGTATGCAAGCAGAGTCTGGAAGCTACAGGGGTGGGGTGGGGGGTGGGTTTAGTGACCTCAGTGTCCCAGGGCCCCCTCCCAGGCCTGAGACTCTCTGGCTGAGCATGTGGCTGCTGGGAAGGCAGGTGGGGACATGTGCTCAGCCTCTCAAGGCTTTAGTGTTGAGGGTGGCACCCCGGACAGGATGGGAGAGGCCGGCACACAGAAACACTTCTCACTTGGAGATGAAGGATCATAGCAGACTCTCCAAAGAATTGAAAAATGGAAAAGTCCACCCAACTGAGCTGTGAAGGGAAAGGCTTGCCAGCTCACAGCTGGATCCAGGCTGGGCCTGGGTGTCCTGAGCAAGCTCTTCTCCTTGTTGTGCCTCAGTTTCCCTCTTGCAGGCCACCTCCCAAGCTTTGGGGACCCAGCCGTGGACCAGGCCCCCCTCAGTCTTCTCAGACAGGGCTCCGGCTCTGATGAACGGCTCTGACCACAGAAATCTAGCGTCGCTGCCCGCCCTATCCGCCCAGCCAGCCCCCCGGGCGCTCGGGCTTTCAGGATTCTAAATTTGGGTCCCTGAGCAGACAGCTGGTCTCCAAAGCCAGCCCCAGAGGCCAGCTCCGCCTCGAGGCGCTGGAGCAGGTGACCTCTCTGAGCTGGGACTTGCCCGCAGGGTGCAGAGCACCCGCCGAGACAGCGAGGCCCCAGACTGGCTATTTTGAGTTCTCCTGTGGCCAGAGGGGCTGTCGTGTCTGCAAGAGCTGTTGCAGCCAGAGAGATGCCTTCCCCAGAGCAGCCAGGGCCCCCACAAGTGGAGAACCGTAACGTAGTTTGTGGGGACACAGTCTGGGCTCGTGTGTATACACATGTGTGCATATGGACACGTGTGTGTGTGTACGTGTGTGCGAGAGAGAGAGACAGGGGCAGGGGGGCAGGGGGCCTGGCACACGTGTGTGCCTGCCGGTGAGCAGGGACGGGTGTCTCCGCGTGGGTGTGCCCGCGCCTCTGTGACCTGCGGGCTCGCCAGACGTCTCCCCGCCGGCACGGGCCCCACTGAGACCCCAAGCCCAGCCAGCTCCAGTGCTCCTTACACCCCAACCTCTGTCCGAGCTGCATTTCATTCTCCTGCCTGAACAAGAAGCCTGCGAGGTGAGGTAGGGGTGCAGTGACCCTGCGTGCGCACAAGCAGCAGAAGTCGGCTGTGCGTGTTTGTGCGTGTGTGTGCCCCTGTGTGAACAGGCCCACGGCTGTGCATAGGGACGCAGGAGAGTATGCTTGTGTGTACTTATGAGTGGTGTCTGTGGGCACTCTGAGTGTGCACATGAAGGCCTGGGCGTGCAAGTGTGAGTAGTGGGAACAATGGGGGCCTGTGAGTGTGTGTGTGTGTGTGTGTGTCATGTGAACTTGGCATGCATGTGTGTACACAGTGTGTGACAGGTGTGAGAAGGTACAGAGGCTATGAGTGAGGGCTGTGTGTGTGTGTGTGTGTGCAGGGTGGGTAGTCCGGGGATAGAGACCAAATCGTGGCTGGAGTCTGAGGCAAAAAGATGTGATGGGCACATCCTGTCCTGGGCTCTAGTGTTCTGTCCTGAGCAGATTGTGAAAGAGCAGGGCACGGGAGAGGGAGGACATATTGTCACTGCCCCCTTCAGAGCCAGGAGGGGATGCTGTGCCTCATCCCAGGGACACCAGTTCTCTTGGCCTAGGGAGCATCCTGAGGCCACAGCCCCCCTGCTCAGAGCCTTGTGTCGCCTACAGTACGAGGCCGTCATGGACCGTGTCCAGAAGACCAAGCTATCTCTCTACAAGAAGGCCATGGATGTGAGTGTGAGGGTCACGGGCCTGGAGGACGCATGGTGTGGACCCCAAGAGCCCTGGGCTGGGCCCCTGGGACAGGGCCAGCCTCCGACCACCCATCCAACAACACACACCATGGCCTGTTGGGTGCTCGGGGCTGCACGGGGAACCAAGGGCCCATGTGGATAGGCCCAGGCCCTGCCCTTGGGGAGCTTCTGACTGATGAGCAGGCGGGCAGTCCCAGACAGTGGCCCACATGATGATCCATGCTGTCAGCTGGGGACTTGGGGTGGAGGGAGAAGGGACCCCTGAGCTGTCTCCCCTAGGGAGAAGGAGAAAAGGGGTTCTGCAAGAGGGGACAGCATGTGCAGAGGCCAGCATGGCATTTTCAGGGACCTGCTGGTGGTTTGATGTGACCATGTCTTTAAAGAGGATGCGGCCATGGGCAGGACCACACTGTTCCCAGGGGGGCAGGGCCTGGGAACAAAACTCCTCTCTCCATCTCCCTTCTGGACCCCCAGACCCCTGTCCCTCATCAGGAGGCCCCCACTCCACCCACAGCCCCCCGACAGGGAGAAGGGAGGCTGGGTTCGGGGAGTCTCACTCTGGGCGCCCCCCCCCCCAGTCCCGCTTCTCCACTCCCCCAGTCCAAGAAGTCATATGAGCAGAAGTGCCGTGATGCCGATGACGCTGAGCAGGCCTTTGAGCGCATTAGCACCAATGGCCCCCAGAAGCAGGTGGAGAAGGTGCGTGGGGCCGCTGAGGCCATATGGTGTCACCCAGGGCTGGAACACGGCAGGGAGGGAAGGAGGGGGTGCCAGAGACACCCCGAGAAAGGTCTGCATCTGGGACATCTGCTCACTCCTCTCTGAACCCCCATCTCCCCATCTGTGAAAGGGGTTTCCTAGAATCTCAGGGCATGGACAGGCAGGACCAGCTAACTCTCACATAACCCTTGGAGAGGGGCTTGGGAGACCCATGTCACAGAGAGGAAACAGGCCCAGAGACGGTGAGTGAATTGTCCAAGGTCTCAGAGCCAGGAAGCAATGGGGAAAGGATGCACACCCAGATCATCCAGAGCCCAGCATCTTGACTGCTCTGGCCTCTGGGGTGAGGGTGAACAGGGGCCCAAGGGCGACTTAGGGGCAGCAAGTCGAAAGCAGAGCCCAAGTCCCAGCCAGCGGGGTCAGCGGTGGCCAGGTGGAGCAGTGGGACCTGGCTCCATCCACATTTCTCCCTCAGGTCTTCACATCCAGTTGTCACACCTGTGTGCATGGGCTGCACGCTTCTGTTTTTATTTATTTTTATTGGACCCTTTTTGACTGTGGTCCTCTGTGGAGTGAGGCTGGAGTAAACGGTGGAAGGTGCCCACAGTTGGCTCCTGAGTGTCCTCTTGGGTGGCTCAGGAAGGGTGGGATGGAAGCACTTCAGAGCCCCCCGGGGAGGCTGGGACCCCGAGGGCTGGGGCCAGCTCAGCATGGCTTTCCCTCCGTCTCCTCAGAGCCAGAACAAGGCCAAGCAGTGCAAGGACTCAGCCATGGAGGCAGGTACGCAGCCCTGCCCGCTTCCTCCAACCTGGGATGGTGGCCAGACAGGCCTGGCCCCCGCCCCCTGCACACCACTCTCCTCACCCTGGGGACACACACGGACACATGACTATACAGAGGCACATGCTCACCACTCTCACATAATCATGCAAGTAAAATAAAAACATACGTGTTCTTGGTACTTTGCATGTTTCAACTACTCTGCATAAGAATCCTACGAGGTGGCGCTATTACTATCCCCCTTTTAAATTTTTAATTGAAGTAAAGTTGACATATGATACTATATTAATTTCAGGTGTACAACAGTGAATCGACAATTATAAACATTATGCAATGCTCACCAAGATATATGTGGTTACCACCTGTCACCGCACAGCGTTATTACAATATTATTGACTCTATTCCCTATGCTGTACTTTTCATCCCTGTGACTCATGTATTTTATAAATGGAAGTTTATAGCTCTTAATCCCCTTCACTTATTTTGTGCATCTTCCCACCCCCTTGCCTTCTGGCAACCAGTTTGTTCTCTATTTTTATGATTCCGTTTCTGTTTTTTTTGTTGTTTCATTTTTTAGATTTCACACATGAAGTGGAATCATATGGCATTTCTCTTTGTCTGATTTATTTCACTTGGCATCATACCCTCTAGGTTCATCCATGTCGTAAAGAATGGCAAGATTTCTTTCCTTTTTGTGGCTGAATAATATTCCATTGTATACATATACCACTTCTTCTTTATCCATTCATCAGTCAGTGGACACTGAGGCTGCTTCCACATCTTGCCTATTGTAGATAATGCTGCTCTAAACATAGGTGTGCATGTATCTTTTCCAATTAGTGTTTTCATTTTTTTCAGGTAAATAGCCAGAAGTGGAATTACTGGACTGTATGATAGTTCTGTTTGTAATTTTTTGAGGAGGCTCCATACTATTTCCCAGAGTAGGTGTACCAGCTTGCATTCCCACCAACAGTGCAAGAGGGTTCCCTTTCTCCACATCCTCGCCAACGCTGGTTGTTTCCTGTCTTTTTGATCCTAGCCATTTTGACTGGTATAAAGTGATACCTCACTGGTTTTGATTTGCATTTCCCTGATGATGAGTGATACTGCGCATCTTTTCTTTCTTTTTTTTTTTTTTTTAAGATTTTATTTATTTATTTGCGAGAGAGAGAGAGAGTGAGTGAGAGAGCACAAGCCATGAGGCGGGTGGGAGCGGGGAGCTGGAGCGGGAGAAGCAGACTCCCTGCCGAGCAGGGAGCCCGATGCGGGACTCGATCCCGGGACTCGAGGATCATGACCTGAGCCGAAAGCAGTTGCTTAACCAACTGAGCCACCCAGGCGCCCGCATCTTTTCATGTGTCTATTTGTCATCTGTATGTCATTTTTGGAAAAATGCCTATTCAGGTCTTCTGCCCACTTTTTAATCAGATTGGGTTTTTTTTTTTTTTTTAAGATTGATTGATTTATTTTAGAGAGGGAGAGAGAATGCATGGTGGGGGGCAGAGGGAGATGGAGAGAGAAACTCAAGCAGACTCCACGCCAAGCGCAGAGTCCAACACGGGGCTCGATCCCACGACCCCTAGATCATGACCGGAGCCAAAAACAAGAGTCAGACACTTAACAGACTGCACCACCCAGGTGCCCCAGGGTTGTATTTTTTTAATGTTGAGTTGTATGAATTCTTTATATATTTTGAATATTATCCCCTTATCTTCTCCCATTCAGTTGGTTGTCTTTTCATTTTGTGGATGGTTTCCTTTGCTGTGCAAAAGCTTTTTAGTTTGATGTAGTTCCAATTGTTTATTTTTGCTTTTGTTTCCCTTCACTGAAGAAACAGATGCAGAAAAATATTGCTAAGGCTGACATCCAAGAGTTTACTGCCCAGGTTTTCTTTTAGGACTATTATGGTTTCGGTCTCACATTTAGGTCTTCAATCCATTTTAGTTTATTTTTGTGTGTGGTATAAGGAAGTGGTCCGGTTTCATTCTTTTGCATGCAGCTCTCCAGTTTTCCAAGTGGCATTTATTGAAGAGATTGTCTTTTCCCCATTGTATATTCTTGCCTCCTTTGCCGTAGATTAATTGACCATATGAACACGGGTTTATTTCTGAGCTCTCTATTCTGTTCCTATGGATCTGTTTATGTACCAGTATGTGTTTTGATTACTATAGCTTTGTAGTATAGTTTGAAATCTGGGATTGTGATACCTCCAGCTTTGTTACTCTTTCTCAAGATTGTTTTGGCTGTTCAGGGTCTTTGGTGGTTCTGTACAAATTTTAGGATTTGTTCTAGTTCTGTGAAAAATGTTGTTGGTGTTTTCATAGGGATTGTATTGAATCTGTAAATTTCTTTGAGTGGTGTGGACATTGTAACAATATTAATTCTTCTAATCCATGAACGTGGTGTATCTTTCCATTTATTTGTGTTGTCTTCAATTTCTCTCATCAAGGCCTTCGTTTTCAGAGTACAGGTCTCTCATTTCCTTGATTAAATTTATTCCTAGGTATTTTATTCTTTTTGGTACAATTATAAATGGGATTGTTTTCTTAATTTCTCTTTCCTCTAGTTCATTATTGGTGTACAGAAATACAACAGATTTCTGTATATTGATTTTGTATCCTGCAAAATAGTTTTTTGGTGGAAGCTCTAGGGCCTTCTGTATATAATGTCATGTTATCTGCAAATAGTGGCGCTTTTACTTCTTCCTTACCAATTTGGCTATTTCTTTTTCTTTTCTGATTGCTGAATAAAAATGGTGAGAACGGAATCCTTGTCTTGTTCCTGATCTTAAAGGAAAAGCTTTCAACTTTTCACTATTGATATGGTGTTAGCTGTGGATTTGTCATATATGGCCTTCATTTGATGTTGAAGTATGTTCCCTCTAAACCTACTTGTTGAGAGTTTTTGTCATGAATGGATGTTGAGTTTTGTCAAATGGTTTTTCTGCATCCGTTTTTTTCTAGTAGTCTCTTCTAATCCTTTATATTTTTGTGGTGTCGGTTGTAACTTCTCTTTCATTTCTGATTTTGAGTCCTCTTTCTTTTTTTCTTAATGAGTCTGGCTAAAGGTTTATCAATTTTGTTTCTTTTCAAAGAAGCAGCTCTTAGTTTCATTGATCTATTGATTTGATCTGTTGTGGGTTTTTTTAGTCTCTATTTCATTTATTTCCACTCTATTATTTCCTTCCTTACTAACTTTGGGCTTTGTTCTTTTTTTAGTTCCTTTAGATGTAAGATTAGATTGTTCACATGAGGTTTTTCTTGTTTCGTGAGGTAAGCCTGTATTGGTGTAAACTTCCCTCTTAGAATTGCTTTGGCCACCTCACAGAGATTCTGAAATGTTGTGTTTCCATTTTCATTCATCTCCAAGTATTTTTTGGTTTCCTTTTTGAGTCTTCATTGACCCATTGGTTGTTTAGTAGCATGTTATTTACTTCCATGTGTTTGTGGGTTTTTTTTTTTTTCCAGTTTTTCCCTTGTAATTGATTTCTAGTTTCATACTGTTGTGATCAGAAAAGATGCTTTGTAGTATTTTAACATTCTTAAATTTACTGAGACTTGTTTTGTGGCCTAACATGTGATCTATCCCGGAGAATGTTCATGTGCACTTGAAAAGAATGTGTATTCTACTGTTTGGGGATGGAATCTTCTGTACATATCTAAGTTCATGTGGTCTAAAGTGTCATTCGAAGACATCGTTTCCTTATTGATTTTCTGTCTGGATCATCTATCCATTGATGTAAGTGGAGTTAGTCTCCTAATACTAGTCTCCTAATATTGTTGTATTACTGTCAATTTCTCCCTTTGCATTTGTCACTACTTGCTTTATATATTTAGGTACCCCTATGTTGGGTGCATGGATATTTACAATTGTTATATCCTCTTGTTGGACTGATCCCTTTATCACTGTGTAATGCCCATCTTTGTCTCTTGTTAGTCTTTTTGAAAAGTCTGTTTTGTCTGATTATTTCTACCCCAGCTTTTGTTGTTGTTGTTGCTTCCATTTACATGGAGTATCTTTTTCCATCCCTTCATTTTTATGTGTCTTTAGGTCTGAAGTGAGTCTCTTGGAGGCAGTATTTGGATGGGTCTTACTTTTTAAAAACGATTTGAGAGAGAGAGAGAGCAAGAGCAGGGGGAGAAACAGAGGGAGAGGGACAAGTAGACTCCACAATGAGTGTGGAGCCTGACATGGGGCTTGATCCCATGAGCCTGCGATCATGACCTGAGTCAAAATCAAGAATCTGATGCTCAACCAACTGAGCCACCAGGCACCCCTAAATAGGTTTTATTTTTTATCCATTCCGTCACCCTATGTCTTTTGATTGGAGCATTTAGTCCATTTATATTTAAAGTTACTATTGATAAATATGTATTTTTTTTTAAGATTTTATTTATTTATTTGACAGAGAGAGAGAGATCACAAGTAGGCAGACAGGCAGGCAGACGGAGAGGGAGAAGCACACTCCCTGCTGAGCACAGAGCCCGATGTGGGGCTCGATCCCAGAACCCTGGGATCATGACCTGAGCCGAAGGCAGATGCTTAACCATCTGAGCCACCCAGGCGTCCCTGATAAATATGTATTTATTGGCATTTTGTTAACTGTTTTCTGGTTGTTTTTGTAGTTCTTCTCTTGCTCTCTTCCCTTATGATTTGATAACTTTAGTGTTATGGCTGGGTTCCTTTCTCTTTATTTTTTGTGTATCTATTATAGGTTTTGGGTTTGTGGTTATTATGAGGTTCATATATAATATTCTATGTATATAGCAATTTATTTTATGTTGATGGTCACTTAAGTTCCAACACATTCTAAAAGCACTGCATTTTTACTCCCCCCTCTACATTTTATGTATGTCATATTGTACATCTTTTTATTTTGCATATTCTTTGATTAATTTTTATAGATATAATTGATTTTACTACTTTTTTCTTTAAACCTTCACACTAGTTGGATAAGTGATTGATCTACTATTTTTACAATATGTTTGCTTTTACTAGTGAACTTCTTCCCTTTCATAATTTTCTTGCTTCTAGTTACGGCCTTTTCTTTTCCATTTAAAAAAAATCCCTTTAACATTTCTTGTAAGGTCAGTTTAGCGATGATGAACTCCTTTAACTTTTCTTTGAATGATAATCTTGCTAAGTAGAGTATTCTTGATTTTAGGGGTTTTAATTTCTTTTAAGTAATCTCTACACCCAACGTGGGGCTCAAACTCACAACCCCAAGATCAAGAGTCACACACTCCCACCAACTGAGCCAGGTAGACACCCTTAGGTTGTTGTTTTTTGTTGTTGTTGTTGTTTTCCTGTCAGTATTTTATTCTTATCACACCACTCCCTTCTGGCCTGCAAAGTTTCTGCTGAAAAAATCAGCTGTTAGCTTTATGGTGTCCCTTATATATAACTAGTTGCTTCTCTCTTGCTGCTTTTAAGATTTCTTAGCTTTAATTCTTTTTTTTTTTTTTTTCTTAGCTTTAATTCTTGATCTCTTAATGAATATTTGTTTTGGTGTGAGCCTCTTTGGGTTTGTCTTGTCTGGTTTGGGGCTCTCTGTGATTCCTGGACCCTGGAGGTCTGGACCCAGATGTCTGTTTCCTTCCCCAGGCTTGGGATGCTTTCAGCTATTCTTTCTTCAAGTAAGTCTTCTGCCCCCTTCTCTCTTTAGCTTCTGGGACCCCTAAAATGCAAATTTTAGTACACCTGATATCCCTTAACCTATCCTCATTTTTAAAATTCTTTTTTCTTCTTGCTATTTATCTTGGAAATTTTCTACTACCCTATCTTCCAGATCCCTGATCTGTTCTTCTGCATCCTCTAATCTGCTGTGGATTCCCTCTAGTGTATTTTTCATTTCAGTTATTAAATTCTTCAGCTCTGCTTGGTTCTTTTTTTCATCTCTTTGTTGAAGTTCTGAGTTCATCCACTCTCCTCTCAAGTCTGGTGAACATTTTTATGACTATCACTTTGAACTCTTTATCAGGTAGATTGTTTATCTTTGCTTTGTTCTTTTTTTTTTTTTTTTGAGGTTTTGTCTTGTTCTTTCATTTGGAACATATTCCTCTTCCCCCCATTTTGTCTGTGTTTGTTTCTATGTATTAGGTAAGTCAGTTATGTATCCTGGACTTGAAAGTAGTGGTCTTATGTAGGTGTCCTGTGGGGCCCAGTGCACAATCCTTCCTGTTCACTAGAACCAGGACTCCAGAGGTATCACCTGTGTGGGCTACATATACCCTCCTGTTGTGACTTGGCTGTGACTGCTGCAGGCTTGCTGGTGGGGAGGGCTGGTCACCGACCAGCACAGTTAGCTGAGAGGGTTGGCTGCAGCTGCTGCAGGTGTGCTAGTGGGTGAGGTTAGCCCCCACTGGTTCGGCCACACTGTTGCAATCCCCTTAACAAATGAGGAAATTGAGACACAGAGAGGTTAAGTAATTTACCTAAGGTCACACAGCTAAGAAGTGGTGGTGACTGCATTTCAACCCAGGCTGTCTGGCTCCAGAGCCCAGGACTTTCACAGCCCCGCCATCATGGGAGACAGACCCACTCACCTCTCTCATACACACACACAGCCTTCTCTAGGCCTCTTTCTCTTCTATCCTTCACCAGATGCCAGAACCCCCCTCCCCCAACACACTTTGTCTCTGTTGGCACACCTCCTAGTCCAGAGAGCTCACCCCCACTCTCCCTGGAAATGCTCTCCCTTCTGCTCTGCCTCTCCCAGGACCCAGCTGCTCCCTTGGCTGGCAGATAGGTGTCCCTCAGATTTCTGGGAATGGAGGTCATGGCCAAGTCTGCTGGGTTCCATCTCCACAGCTCCCATGCTCCCCCTGCCTCCTTCAGTGCTGCCTTCTCCAAGCCTCAGAAAGTGTGAGAGGGTGGGACCCAGGGATGGCAAGAGGCCTGAACTCTGATCTTGAGGTATGGGCTCCACTGCAGCCCTGGGCAGCTCAGAGCACAGTGGGGAGTTAAGAGTCACCGCCAAAAGACCAGTACCAGAGTAGGTGGCCCTAACAGGCATTCAAATGAGGCACCAGAAGCCAGGGCAGGTCTCTCTGAGGGAGGAGGGGGCACTCCAAGGACCTGGAGGGCACTCGGTACAGGGGCACTGTGGGAGCAAAGGGGTGGAGGGTCGGGAGGGTGTCTGGGCCTTGGCCTCCTTGAGGCCCACCTGTGCTTCCAGAGCGAGTGTACAGGCAGAACATTGAACAGTTGGAGAAGGTGCGGGGCGAGTGGGAGCAGGAACACCGGACCACTTGTGAGGTGAGTGACCTTGGGCATGGAGTCCTTTCCCCAGCTGCAAAATGGGAAAGATGTCTATCCCTCCAGCTGCTTCGTGGGGGAAAGCAAGGCAGTGACGGGAGGAAGGCCTCATTCCCTCATTCACCCGTCCACTCTCTCCCCAGGCCCAGCGCTGGGTCCCTGTCTCTGGGAGCTCACCATCTGGCTTTGTGCCCTGGGGCCCTTTGTTTTAGGCAGGCAGCCTTCACCCCTTTCTGCTGAGGGCAAAACTGAGGCTCAGACAAAACTCATAGCTTCTCTGGGTCCTGCTGGTGGACAAAGGCCTGGGAGACAGGCTTCAGGACGCCAGGTCCAGTGCTCCTCTTACAACACTCCCCAAGGCTTTTTCCAGTGTGTGGTGGAGCCCGGAGGGAGGGTGAGGGCATTCGGAACTGGAAGCCTCAGGCACTGGCACAGAGGTGGGGGTGGGGATCCCCAAGAAGGGTGTTTCCTTTGGACTCAGCAGAGCGGGGTGTAGCTAGTCAGCACCTCCTGAGGTGGGGATGCGTCGGGCAGGGCCCAGTCTGGCCTGGCCCCGCAAGCCCGTCCTCACTTCTCGCTTCCATCCCGCCTCCACCTCCCAGGCCTTTCAGCTGCAAGAGTTTGACCGACTGACCATCCTTCGCAACTCCATGTGGGTGCACTGCAACCAGCTCTCCTTGCAGTGTGTCAAGGACGATGAGGTGGGGGGACTAAGGACAGGGAGGGCCAGAGAGTGAGCTGGGGTGGGGGTGTGAGGGGACGGCAGCCTGCAGACAACAGCATGCCCGGGTCCTTCTGAGTCCATCAACAAACACCTCAGGGCTTAGCCTCTGCCCCTGGGGCCCCAAGGACAGGGGGCTCAGTATAGGGCCCTGGCCTCCCTACCTGGAAGACTGCCTTTGTGGTTGCCCTGACGTCTGCCTCTTTGCCCACCCCTGCCTCCAAGGTCCTCGGCTCTGCTCTCAGGGCCACAGAGCACCTGCCCCCTCTGCTGGGGTCGGGGAGGTTGGTGGGCACTGCCTCTCAGAGGTTTGCAGAGATGCTGGAGGACCCTGGGCGGCTCTCCTCCACAGCTGGTGCTTGCAGGAGCCAAGGTCCAGTCCCTCCTCTGCCCCCCAGACTCTCTGCGGTATCCTGGTTCCCCTTACTGAACTCTACATGCCAGGAGTGTTGGGGTGGGGTCCCCCAGGACAGGGGGGCTGCCACTTCCACGCCAGGGGCTCTGACCTCTGTTGATACAGCCTGAGAGCCATGAGCTCTCTTTTGAGGTAGCTCGGACTCCCTCATGCCCACTGCTATTCCTTGCCTGACCCCTTCTGCCCATGGACTGTGGGGTTTGGGGGTTTTCCCCCCAAAATGACTTGAGCCCATGTGGTGCCTTCCTCATGGCAGAGGAAGGAGTGTGGGCTTTGGATCTTCTCAAATGAAATCCAGTCTGGCTGCAATGAATTCTTGCTCTGTGACCTTGGGCAAGTCACTTTTCCTGTTTCCTTGTCTGTAAAATGGGGGAAAGCAGTGTCTCCTTCCGAGGGCAGGAGTGAGGTAGGCCCCTTGCATAGGACCTTGCGCACAGCAAGTGTTTAGGAACCAGGAGAAGCTGTCAGCCGGGGCTCTGACCCCTCATGCCACCGCCCCCAAATATAGGCACTGAGCTGTGCACACAGGCCCGTGAGGAGGCTGGTGGGACGGGGGCTCCTGGCCAGAGTTCAGGCCCACGGAGGTGCAGGACTTGGACGAGGGGGGGCGTCAAGGTGAGGCCTGGTCCCTCAGCCTCTTCTCTTTCCTGCCCGCAGCTCTATGAGGAGGTGCGGGTGACACTAGAAGGCTGCAGCGTGGAAGCCGACATCGACGGCTTTATCCACGCCAAGAGCACAGGCACCGAGCCCCCAGGTGAGGCCTGGCCCCAGCTCTCCGAGCCTCCGCCGCCGGGACGGGGCAGGGCAGCTCGCAGCTCCCTTCTGGGTGCAGGAGCCTTGGCCGGACCCGGAGGAGGGGTCGGGGACGGCACAGTCCCCTGGCTGGGTCCCCGGCCTGCCGCCACCGCCTGAGGCAGAGGCCGCACAGCGTTTAAGAATGCTACAACACTCAGAAGCGGGGGCAGAGACGGGGGGCCCTCTTAGGGCCTGTGCGAGAAGCCCCTTCCCCAAGCCCGGAGGCAGCTGAGGGCCAGAATGGGGAGGTGGGGCCCGAGTTTGGGTCTCCGGACAGGGACCAGTTGGGGTATCAGGTGGCATAGGTCCTGCCTGCCCCGTCCTTGGCCACCCTGGGCCTCACTGGCTTGCTGCCCACAGCTCCGGTGCCCTTCCAGAACTACTACAATCGGGAGGTCACCCCGGCATTGGGCAGCCCTGGCGTCCAGCCATCCTGCGGCATGATAAAGAGGTGAGGTGCCTGATGGGGCTGGGGAGGCACCAGGAATTGGGTCCAGCCTTCCCACCTGCAAGTGGCTCTTCCACATGTACTTATCGAGCACCTACGGTGGGCCTGGTGCTGTGGGTAGGTCTTGGGCACTCTGGGGACAAGACAGACTCAATGTGGCCCATGACACCCGCAGCCCAAGGGTCCCAGACATTAAGCAAATCATCAGAGCCCACTTACTCACCAGTGACTGTGCTGGGAGCTCCAGGGAGGCCCGAGGCCAGCTTCCGTGTCCCTTGGGGCCGGCTGCTAGGCTGGGTTGGTGCCCTGGACAGTCACGCTGCAGTGGTGGCACTTCCCGGCTGGGGCAGGATCAGGGCACAGGCGCGGGCCCGAGAGCCAGGACTCTTGGGAGAGGTCCCGGGCTTCTCAGGGCCCCTTCTCTGGCCTGGCTGCAGAGGGCCCTCATACCACGCATCACTGTGTCACCCGCACAAGTCACTGGCCTTCGCTAGGTAAGGAGCCCATGAGTTGTTTGCGTCAGACTCAGAACCTAAGGACTCTCTTGGTTCAGGCCTTGGGCTACAACGGCGACAGCCCACTGAGAGCACCATGGCCTGCTCAGGAAGGTCTCCGGCAGCCAGGCTCCTGAGGGTCTGTGGGCCCTGTCGGTGGGGGTCTGACAGCATCTGTGCGTTTCGTGTGGTGTCTGCGCCCCACTCCCACCCCGAGGCCCCTGTGACGCCCTCTCTCCATCCAACCTCCTGCCGAGGAAGGCCCTGCCTGCGGGTGGTAGGGAAGGGTGAGGATGGGTGGATGGATCTCCCAGCCCTCCCAGCTTTTTCCTGAGGCCTCAGGAACCCCTGGAGCCTCCCTTGAGGGCGCCTCTGGAGGCACAGCGTGCCCCTCCAGGAGGCAGGACCCCAGGAGGAGGGCAGGCACCCCCTCACCATCTCACCGTGCGGAATCGTGGGGGACTCGGGCCTCCCTGCAGCCCTGGGGAGGACCTGCAGCTCAACACACGTGGTCATTTAAACACCTGGACGGAAGAGCTCACCTGGGGTGATGTCAAGGAAGGACAGAAAGGGGTGCCTTCATGAGGATGCGAGAGAAGGCCCAGCGGCCGGAGGAGGCCTGGCCACTGGCGGGGCGGGCAGGGGCCACCGCAGGGGCCAGCTGGAAGGCAAGCACAGCTGGGGGCTGGCACAGGCACAGACAACTCCGGAGAAACGGGCGGGGGGGAGGGCCCACAGCGGCCGCCGCGAGCTCTGCTCCTCCCAGCCACGGCCCTGCCGGCTTTTACCAAGGGGCAGGACTGTGTCATTGCTGTTGGAGCTGCGCGGCCTGAGGTCCGCCCGCGCCTGTCCTGCGTCTCCAGCCTGGGCACGAGTGTCCACGCCGGGCCCTGGGCTTGTTTGTGGGGGTGTGGGTGTCACGGAGCTTCCCCGCCTGGGGGAAAGGCCCCTCGTGCCCCACCGAGCCACACTCAGGGCCCCCTGGGGTCTGGCCCAGTCCCTACTCCGGTCTTGTCTCCCACGCCCCCGGTGGGCCCACTGCACTCAGCAAACTCCTCTGCCCGTGCAGAGCTCCCCCTGCATGTCTGCCGCTCACTGGCCAGGCCTTGAGCCATCTCTGCCTGGTGAAGCTCTTTCAGGACTTGGCCCGACCCTACCCAGAAGCCTTTCCTGAAGCTGGGAATGGCGTCAGCCTCTTCTTGTGTAGCCCTCAGCCCTGCCTGCTCCATGGGGTGCCCACGCATGCCTCCCCACTGGTGGCCCCAGTGTCCGCCTCTTGCTTGTCCCGTTCTTTTATTCGACAACCTTCACGACTCCCGCTCGCCCAGGCCTGAGCCAGGCACGGGAGAAGGGGTGAACGACTGCGGCACCGCCTCGTGCGTACACAGGGGCCCGACGTCGCCTGGTCAGGGAGCGGCCGGGCTGGCCGGGTCACGGTGGAGCGCAGGGAGGAGGACTGGCTGGGCCCAGGCAGGTGGAGGCCCCAGCGGGGCACGACTGGGCTGCACGCTGAGGGGCAACGGCTTCACCAGTGGGGGAGGGTGGAGCAGGGGTCTAGGGGCACAGGGCCCTGGGAGCGGCGCGTGGAGGGCCCGCGAGGAGCAGGCGCAGGAGCAGGAGCAGGAGCCGAGGAGGCCCGGGAGGGTATGGCAGGGGAAGGCAAGGCCACTGGGACCACCCTTGGAGGAGCTCAGCCCTGGAGCTTTGAGGGCCGCCTGCCTCATCCCCCTCCCTCCAGGGCCCACCTGCTTTCCTTCTTGTCCCCAGGTTCTCTGGACTGCTGCACGGGAGTCCCAAGACTATATCATTGGCAGCTTCTGCAGGTGACTGGGGGTGACGCAGGGGCCACTAAACAACTGAGCCCAGGGGAAAGGAGAGGACTCCTATATGGCATGGATGGGTTGTCCAAATGCTTTTGTGGGGAGGCTGAGCCAAGTCTGGGGAAGCTCCACACCAGGGGGCGTCTCCAGGGATCACTACCCTTGAAAGGAGTGGGCTCCAGGCCTCTCACACTGCTTTCAGCCTCCACAGAGACCCTGACCCCAACCCCCGAACAGAATGAGATTGTCTACTCTACCATCGCAGTGAAGGAGGCGCCGGACCCCCCAACCCTGCCAGCCCAGGGCTACAGGGTGCTCTATGACTACACGGCCCAGGTGAGGCCCTCACCCTCCTCTCCTCAGGAGGGCACAGGTACGCCCGAGTGCGGCCACACAGAGGCTCGTGCCCTGGAGTGTGCCGGCGTGTGCGCCCTCAGAACAGCACCCAGCACTTAGGAGCGGCTCGCTGTAGAGCTGCTGAGCAAACGTTGATGAATGGGGACAAGGACCTGTGTCTGCCTGGGTGTGTGTGCATGAGCAGGCACGCTGACAGACGCTGGGGCTACCTGCAGGAAAGGGTCCGAGGGTCAGTCTCTGTGCCCTCAGGTTGGGGCCGTGGGTGCCAAGAACAAGCCACAGCCAGAATGAGCCCCTCAGCTGGGCCCGGGTTGGTTTTCTGAGGTCCACGGGGAGAGGATGGGTCAGGGGGCCACAGGGCAGCTGTGCTGAGATCCTCAAGAGTTCAGTCTGCTCCCTGCTTTGAGGTAAGGTTGCAGAGCCCCCTCAGTCCACCCGGATTGAAGGCAGCCATCCCCTCGGGGCGAAGTGGTCTGTGCAGACTCCCAAAGCCTGGTCCTTGGTTGGCAGGGGGACAGGCCAAGAGAATGAGAATGTGCTTGCACGACAGGGGCTAGCTCACCAGCACTGGGGAGGCTGTGTGCAGTGGGCCTGGGAATGTTTGGAGCATGGTGAGCACACCTGACCCTGGGCCTGGAGCAGAGCTGGGGGGGAGAAGGCGGCAGGGGGAAAGCGAGGGGAAGAAGCCCCAGGGTGAGGGAGGTCTACAATGACAAACCAGGGAGGGCAGGAGGCTGAGTCCCACAGACACCCCAGACCCTACCTGTCTCCAAAGGCCACCCCAGCCCAGAGAGTGGCCTCATTCTGTGGCTCCAGGAGGCCAGGTGCAGCTCTGAGGACTGCGCCCACCTGGGAGACAAACTCGCATTTACTGCCTGGAGTGGGGGTGCCGACCAGAGCCTACCCCCAGGCCCCCGAAGTGGCCCCTCCAGCCCAATGCACTTTCATTCTCTTGCCCAGAATTCCGACGAGCTGAGTATCTCTGCGGGAGACATCCTGGAAGTCATCCTGGAGGGGGAGGATGGCTGGTGGACAGTGGAACGGAATGGGCAGCGTGGCTTCGTCCCCGGTTCCTACCTGGAAAAGCTCTGAGGAAGGGGCAGCAGCCCCCACCTGGACCTGCCCTGCCCGTGAGGCCAGTGGTGCCCCCAATCACTGCCCTGGCCTTCCTGGGGCCCCAAGATGGAGCCTGCCTCCCAGAATGGACGCTGGCAGCTCCCTGACCTGTCTCTCCCACAGGGAATAAAGGAGTGCATTTTTATTCCTTGGTCTGCAGGGGTCCCTTTCACTCTTCTGCCCCCGTGTCCAAGTGCCCCAACCAAGATGAGGGAAAGGAGTGAGGGGAGAAGTCCTGGGGGGTGGGTGGGTGGGCAGAGCTTGCCTACTTCCAGTGTCCTCACTGAGGCCCTGGCCAGGTCTGTCCCGAGGTCTGCTGGGGAGGGAGAAGAGCCCTGGCCCCAGGCTGGGAACTCCCAGACTGTGAGGGAGACACACTCACATTCGGGCAAATGGGAGAAGGCCGCAGGGGTCGGGGGACGGGGTAGGGCAATGAGAAGGGGCTCAGGAGTCCTGTGATGGGGGCACCAGGCTTTCTGGGAGCAGAGGGACTGAAAAGGGGCCTCGGAAGGGCAGCAGCAGACAGGGCACAGAGAAGAGCATCAGAGTGGGGTAAATGTGTGAGCACAGGGAGGAGGTGGGAACACCTAGAACCTTCTGGGGATGAGCCAAGCTCAGTCTGGGGAGGAAATAGGCGATGAGTCCACTGGAGGTTAAGGGGCCATGGTGCAAAGCCCAGGAGGACAGGCTTTGCACCTTGTGGGTGCAAGTGATCCTGTCTCCCAGACCCAGCTGAGGCGTAGGGAAGCCACTTCGGCCTGTGCCACTTCCTGTCAAACATGGCAAATCCCACCCAGGCAGGGGCTCCAGAGCCCATGCAGGCTGGCCCTGGGCCCTGAGGTGGCCACACTCGTCTTCTGTTCTCAGTGCTCTCAGGCCTTTCTCTTTTTGGACCCAGGCCCCCAGAAACACAACTTCCAATGCTGGCCAAGGCCTGCCAAAGCCATGCTCTGGCCACAGAAGGCTCCATCCTTGCCAAACGTATTGGGAGTGGGTGTCAGGGAGAGAGCCAGTGCAAACTGGTGGCTCCTCAGTCCCGGGCCTCCCCCTCACTCACCTGTGGGAGCCCAACACTGTCAGCACAAGGGGCCAGACTGCAGGGGTGGAAGGGGGACATGCCATTCTCCTCCACTGCGCACACCCTGAGAGATGCTGCTGGAGGGGGCTACTGTTCCCTGAGGACTGGAGCCCAGGCTCTGTGTGAGACAAAGGGGTGCCTTCAAAGAGCTCACTCATTCCAGAGGGGGGACACAGACACCATAATCCCTCTGACACAAGGCAGACAGCAAGCAGGGTGAGATGTGACCGGGAGGCCAAGCCCAGGCTGCCCAACACAGAGGTGATGGCGGCTTGTCTGGGAAGTGGCAATGGGGCTGGAGAGCAATTCTGGAAGGACGAGGGAAGCAGATCAACAGGACTTGGTAACTTACAGGCTGTGAGACAGGAGCGGGAAGAGTGGAAAAGAAGGAGGTGAGGAGCGACTTCTGAGCTGAGCCAGGCCTTGCGGACGGGCAGGTCCTCCTCAGGCTGAGCAGGAGGCAGAGAAGGGGCTAGCAGCAGGGACAAAGCCCGAGCAAGGGCCCAGAAGAGGAAGGGCAGCCAAGGAGACTGACCACCAGGGTCAGGTCATGTGTGGCAGCCAAGAGGGAAGAAAAAAGAGTAAGTTAGGTATCAGTGCTTTATTTATTCCCTGAAAATACCCTGTCATCTTGATTGAGCATTCCATTCGACTGCAGAGATTTTTAAAAAAAACCTTTGGCCTAGATATTTATCATCATCTCTGACAGGTGCTGCATTGTCTATGGGCCCCAGAGGGCGCTGGGTAATAAGTGTTAGATAACAGAGCCTGGGCTCCAGTCATTCAGGGAGCCAGAGAATGGAACTGAAAGCAACTCGTGGGTCATAATTCATCCCAGGGAAAAAACCCACAAATGAATCTAAGTCCGATTCATTGCCTCCACAGCATTCTCCACTCTGTGCACCAAGCAGGTCAGAACCTCAGAGGCTGTGAACCAATCGTGTGGATGGACAGCCCTCCCAGCAGAAGAAATGGTACCAGACAAAGGGGGGCTGGCATGTGTGTAACTGGACGTACAAATAACAGCAGCCCTCTCCCCGACGGAGGGCTGGTCGGACAGATGAAGCAGGGGACAGAAGAATGGTCAACATCAGGACGAAGCCAGGCTCAGGCTTCCCTGTGTGCTCATAGGCAAGTAATCATTTCTCTGGACCTCATTTTCATCATCAGTAATATGGGTGCAATAAGCCCCTTGTGTAAGTTGCTATCCCCATAAAGTTCAAATTAGATAAAAGTGCTAATTAAAAGCCAGGGAAGACCATTTTTTTTTTATTCTTATGTTAATCCCCATACATTACATCATTAGTTTTAGATGAAGTGTTCCATGATTCATTGTTTGTGCATAACACCCAGTGAT